GGAGGCTGACACGCTGGGAGGCTGACACGCTGGGAGGCTGACTCGCTGGGAGGCTGACTCGCTGGGAGGCTGACTCGCTGGGAGGCTGACTCGCTGGGAGGCTGACTCGCTGGGAGGCTGACTCGCTGGAAGGCTGACTCGCTGGAAGGCTGACTCGCTGGAAGGCTGACTCGCTGGAAGGCTGACACTGACATACACACACCGTGCAGGTGTTTACGATAGAGGAATTGCACCCCGCCCCCTCCATCCTTCCCCTAACCCCTCCACCTGCTTCCCCCCTCCCCTTCATTCCCCCTCACCCCTCCCTCTACCCCCCCTCGCCCCCTCCTCCACTCTGCGGGATTTTCCCCACCCGAAGGCGAATTCCTTTCAGATCCGTTACCTGCCGCTCCCCCTACGGTGTCAGACCAGAGGGTTTCCCTCCAGGTAACCGCTCCTCCCCAGGGTGTCAGATCAGAGGGCTTCCCTCCAGATAGCCGAGTCTGTGCGTGTTGGATCAATGGGTTTCCCTCCAGGGAGCCGAGTCTGTGCGTGTCGGATCAGAGGGTTTCCCTCCAGGTAGCCGCCCCCCCCCCCCCCACGGTGTCAGATCAGAGGGTTTCCCTCCAGATAGCCGAGTCTCGCAGGTCAGGTGGGTGAATCAACTCACCTGGTTACACAAACTCCACTCGCCTGCTCACCCTCTCGCTCACCCGCTCGCTCACCCGCTGACTTGCTAACTCATCCATTCACGGACCCACTGACTCACGCACTGATCCACTGGATCGCTCGTCCATCCACTCGCTCGTTCACCCACCAACTCACCCACCGACTCGCGAATTCAGCCACTCCTTAACCCACTCGCTCACCCACCTACTGACTCGCTCGCCCATCCACTCGCTCGCCCATTCTCTCATCCACTCGCTCATCCATTATCCCACCTGCCTACTCACCCAATGATCCACCCATCCACTCACCCACTCACTCAAACAGCCACCCATTCACCTACTCACCCACCCACCTACTCACCCACTCACCTACTCGCCCAATCAAACAGCCACCCACTCACTCACCCATTGACCGACCCACCTACTCACCCATTGACTCGCTCACCCACTCACCCATCCACTCGCCCACTGTCACACATTCACCCACTGACCTTGGCAACTCATCCCACAATATATTACCAGACCATGTTTTTGTATGCATGTTCACCACAAGTATGTGTGTGTGATTCATGCAGACATCATTCCTCGCAAAAGGTTTATGTCTGGTGTTTTAACACTCGCCCCCTCTTTCCCAATTAAGACTCCTCATGCCGTAATCTATCTGTGTCACTCCGGGTTAATGATAACCGCGTGCGTGAGCTGTCGCAGTCAGAAGCTGTGCCCTCAACTGACCTCACCTATGGGCTCACCTCACCTCACCAATTGGCTCACTCCGCCTGCTGCTGTAGCCAGAGCCAATGCATGCACGGGCAATTCTATGGGTGTCTGTGTGGGTCTCTGTGTGGTGAGTGAGTCTATGGGTCTCTGTGTAAGGAGCGAGTCTGTGCGAGTCTATGGGTCTGTGTGGCGATTTGAGTCTATGGGTCATCAGCCACTCGCATATGCAGGCACTCGCTCGCCCACTTGCTCGCCCATCCACCCACCCACTCACCCACCCATCCAGTCACTCACCCACCCACTCGCTCGCTCACCCACCCGTTCGCTCGCTCACCCACCCAGTCACTCACCCACCCACTCACTCACCCACCCGCTCACTCACCGACCCACTCACCCGCCCGCTCGCTCACAAACTCCCACTCATCCACTCACCCGCCCGTTCACCCACCCACCCGCTCGCTCGCTCGCTCACCCACCCACCCACTCGCTCACCCACCCACCCACTCGCTCACCCAGTTACCCACCCACTCACCCAGTCACTCACCCACCCGCTCGCTCACCCAGTCACTCACTCACCCACTCACTCACCCACCCGCTCACTCACCGACCCACTCACCCGCCCGCTCGCTCACAAACTCCCACTCATCCACTCACCCGCCTGTTCACCCACCCACCCGCTCGCTCGCTCACCCACTCACCCACCCACCCACTCGCTCACCCAGTTACCCACCCACTCACCCAGTCACTCACCCACCCGCCCGCTCGCTCACCCAGTCACTCACTCACCCACTCACTCACCCACCCGCTCACTCACCGACCCACTCACCCGCCCGCTCGCTCACAAACTCCCACTCATCCACTCACCCGCCCGTTCACCCACCCGCTCGCTCGCTCACCCACTCATCCACCCACCCACTCGCTCACCCAGTTACCAACCCGCTCACCCAGTTACCAACCCACTCACCCACTCACTCACCCACCCACCAGCTCCTTCCTGATGGTGAGCAGCGGCTAGCGCCGCGCTGCGAACCCCCAACAGAGTCGAGAGTTTCGTCGCTGCCCATCCCCTAGGTCGACTCAGCCTCAAGTCAACGTGGCGACGTGGGTGTGGATTCTTTGTGTCAAATATCAGCACTGGGGAGAGACAAAGGCGGCCGGGCGTGGTGGTGCTGGCCACCCACCACCCTCGTGTACCACAGCGCCGGCCTGCAGAGGTTCTGCTACTCGCTACTTAACAGCACTTGCCCCTACAGTCTGTTAGAGGCTATATGGGGGATCTTTGTCTGTGTATCTGCGTGTGTCTTAATAGGTGCTGCTTCTTGCTGCTGACAGCACTTGCCACCACAGTCTGTTAGAAGCTACATGGGGGATCTTTGTCTGAGTATATCTGTGTGTGTCTTAATATGTGCTGCTACTTGCTGCTGACAGCACTTGCCACCACAGTCTGTTAGAGGCTACATGGGGGATCTTTGTCTGAGTCTGTGTGTGTCTTAATAGGTTCTGCTACTTGCTGCTGACAGCACTTGCCCCTACAGTCTGTTAGAAGCTAGATGGGGGATCTTTGTCTGAGTGTATCAGTGTGTGTCTTAATAGGTGCTGCTACTTGCTGCTGACAGCACTTGCCACCACAGTCTGTTAGAGGCTATATGGGGGATCTTTGAGTGTATCTGTGTGTGTCTTAATAGGTGCTACTCGCTACTTAACAGCACTTGCACCTACAGTCTGTTAGAGGCTACATGGGAGATCTTTGTCTGAGTATCTGTGGGTGTGTCTTAATAGGTGCTGCTACTTGCTGCTGACAGCACTTGCCACCACAGTATGTTAGAGGCTATATGGGGGATCTTTGAGTATATCTGTGTGTGTCTTAATAGGTGCTACTCGCTACTTAACAGCACTTGCACCTACAGTCTGTTAGAGGCTACATGGGAGATCTTTGTCTGTGTGTATGTGGGTGTGTCTTAATAGGTGCTGCTACTTGCTACTTAACAGCACTTGCCACCACAGTCTGATGGAGGCTACATGGGGGATCTTTGTCTGTCTGTGTGTGTGTCTTTGTGTTGCATTTCAGGAATGTAGACAAACCGGATAATGAACTTACGAGAGCGCCTCATTTAATAGGGGCAGGGTGCGTGTGGGTGGGTGTGGGTGTGTGTGGTTGTGTGTGTGTGTGTGGTTGTGTGTAGCGGTTAGCACGCTGCACTACGAACCTGGCAATCCCGGCTTCGATTCCTGCTGATGGCCAACACCGGGGACGATTATTTGAACCGGTCCTGGGCCTCCCCTCAAATGAGTACCTGGTGAGGTGGAGTAGTGTAGTAAACATCGCCACTGGGGAGGCAAAGGCGGCCGGGCGGGCGTGGTGCTGACCTTTATAGGTGATGCTACTCGCTACTAGCAGCACGCTGCCTCCACAGCCTGGAGACCACACGGGGGGAGGGGGGGGGGTGGATGGATGTTTGGGTGGGTGGGTGTGTGGATGTTTGGGTGGGTGGGTGGATGGATGTTTGGGTGGGTGGGTGTGTGGATGTTTGGGTGGGTGGGTGTGTGGATGTGTGGATGTGCATCTGCCGGTCATCTCTGTCGGTCAACCCATGGCACCTGGGTCTGACCCATGACCTCCTGCTGCACCTAGCCTGGCACAGTGGTCAACCCATGGCACCTGGGTCTGACCCATGACCTCCTGCTACACCTAGCCTGGCACAGTGGTCAACCCATGGCACCTGGGTCTGACCCGTGACCGCCTCCGGCACCTAGCCTGGCACAAGCGCTGTGGTGAGGTCCACCGCCCCTTCATGGTGAAGGGTATTGTATGGGTGTGTCTAGTTTAGGGGTGTGTGGGGAACGGTGGTGCAGCGGTTAGCGCTGCGATACGAACCCGGTGACCTGAGCTCGATTGCCGCTCACGGCCACCGTGATGGCGATTATCTCAACGGTGTCCTGGACCTCCCCTAAGTCGACTCTGCCTCAAATGAGTTACGGTGCTGGCGAAGTCACCTCCTCGTGTGCCACAGTGCAGGCCTTCATAGGTGCTCGCTAACAGCACTTGCCCCAACCAGTCTGTTCCAGGCTACATGGGGGATCTTTGTCTGTGTGTCTCTGTGTGTCTTCATAGGTGCTCGCTAACAGCACTTGCCCCAACCAGTCTGTTCCAGGCTACATGGGGGATCTTTGTCTGTGTGTCTCTGTGTGTGTCTTCATAGGTGGTCGCTAACAGCACTTGCCCCAACCAGTCTGTTCCAGGCTACATGGGGGATCTTTGTCTGTGTGTGTCTCTGTGTGTGTCTTCATAGGTGGTCGCTAACAGCACTTGCCCCAACCAGTCTGTTCCAGGCTACATGGGGGATCTTTGTCTGTGTGGGGTATGGGGTTGTGTTGGGTGCACTGTGGGTTCTGTTTAGAACCAGCACCCCGTATCTGCTGCTCATCAGCAAGTTCACCTTGTGTGCTGTAGCGTTAACTGGAGGTGTGTCTTGCTTGTCGTTTACATTAACCCGTACAATGTTTGTGCGTGTCTGTCTGTGGGCTTCGCCCTGCGTTGGCGCTCCTCAGCATGATAGGACACCGTGTCGTATGAACCCTGTGTGTTGTATTAACCTCCTGTGTGTGTGTGTGTGTCTGTACGTTGGCGCTCGTCAGCATGGCGGACCCCGCGGACCCGGTGTCGCTGCTGTCCGTGAGCCGCTCCACAGCCATCGACTCGGCGGCCCAGGCGGAGTGGGCCTCGAAACGCCTCCTCTGGGTGCCCTCGGAGAGGCTGGGCTACGAAAAAGCCTCCCTCAAGGAGGAGAGTGGAGATGAGGTGAGGGGGTGGTGAGTGGGTGAGTGGTGAGGAGGGGTGAGTGGTGAGGAGGGGTGAGTGGTGAGGAGGGGTGAGTGGTGAGGAGGGGTGAGTGGTGAGGAGGGGTGAGTGGTGAGGAGGGGTGAGTGGTGAGGAGGGGTGAGTGGTGAGGAGGGGTGAGTGGTGAGGAGGGGTGAGTGGTGAGGAGGGGTGAGTGGTGAGGAGGGGTGAGTGGTGAGGAGGGGTGAGTGGTGAGGAGGGGTGAGTGGTGAGGAGGGGTGAGTGGTGAGGAGGGGTGAGTGGTGAGGAGGGGTGAGTGGTGAGGAGGGGTGAGTGGTGAGGAGGGGTGAGTGGTGAGGAGGGGTGAGTGGTGAGGAGGGGTGAGTGGTGAGGAGGGGTGAGTGGTGAGGAGGGGTGAGTGGTGAGGAGGGGTGAGTGGTGAGGAGGGGTGAGTGGTGAGGAGGGGTGAGTGGTGAGGAGGGGTGAGTGGTGAGGAGGGGTGAGTGGTGAGGAGGGGTGAGTGGTGAGGAGGGGTGAGTGGTGAGGTGAGGTGGGGGGGGTGAGTTGGTGGTGAGGGGTGGGGGGGGTGAGTTTGTGGTTAGTGGTGAGGTGGGGGGGGTGAGTTTGTGGTTAGTGGTGAGGTGGGGGGGTGTGAGTGGTGAGGTGGGGGGTTGTGTGAGTGGTGAGGTGGGGGGGGGTGTGAGTGGTGAGGTGGGGGGGGTGTGAGAGGGGAGGGGGGTGAGTGGTGAGGGGAGGGGCAGGTGAGCGGTGAGGGGGGGGGTGAGTGGTGAGGTGAGGGGGTGGGTGAGTGGGGTGAGTGTGAGACTCGGATACAAGAAGAAGACCTCGCTGAAGGAGAGGAATGGATATGAGACGAGTGGGGGACCTCCTTTACCAGTACCAAAATACGACTTTTGTATCTTTTCCCCTCTTTCCCGGCAACAAAACAGCGGTGTTGAGACGTTAAAACCCCAAACTGAAACCTTTTTTTTACGAGGAATCGTGACTGATTTCTGACCACAACAATACTTGTGGTCAGAATGCAGATGTAGCGACATCGTTGGATGTCACTCCGTGAAGCCGGCCTGAGAGAGAGAGAGAGGGCACGGCGCGCGATGTGTTGACATCGCAGCGGACGCCACTTGAGGTATAACTCAGTACCGGCCCTAGCGGGGCGCGGGGGAGCCCTGCCTGACAGCGATGGATGGCTGCACGCGGCTCCGTGGTGTCAGACCCTACAAGCAGTGGTGGGGAACAAGTTTTCTGCCAAGGGCCATACAAAATTTTCAGCTTCAAAATTAGCCCTGTTATATTTTTGATTTAAAGCTTTCGTGACTGCAGGGATTCATATTCTTGGTTCTTTCGGTAAAGTCACCACGTAGAAGGGAAACAATAAAATAATATAATAAAACTATAAAATTCTCACGACGTTTCGACTGCAACACGAGCAATAATTTTGTTGTAGCCCTGTTATATTTGGTCAAACCATTTAAACCATTTAATTAACGCACCCCTAAAGTGATGGCTGGAACAGACTAAATGATTTCGCGGGCCATACAAGGCCCGCGGGCTGGACGTTCCCTGCCCTATAGGATAGAGGGGGGGGTGGTTGCTAGCCTTGGAACCCCCAAAAGGGGGGCTGGGAGGACCACGTGTCAAGGTGGAGATCCTCCTCCAAGGATTCCAGAAGGGGAGCGTGTCCAGGGGCGGGGCGAGCCCTGGCACGGCAATAGAAGCCGGGTCCCTGAGTGGGACCGGGAGTCGTTGTTTTATGGGATCCCCACGCTCTGCGTGTTCCACAACACGGGGACTCGGGCCCGAATTGGAGTCGAGTCCGCTATAGCTACAGTGGTGAGCGTAGATGGCGTGGTGGTCTACCACCAGGGGCAGTTTCCCTTTGTGTTAGCCTGTTAGTCTCCATATATATAAAAGACAAAGTTGTGATTATGTGTGTCTGTTCAAAATGTTTAGCGTACTTCCCGACAAGCAACAAACTTGAAATTTGCCATGTGGGTACTTTCCAGACTGTACACCATGCAAAAATTATAAAAATACACTTTTTTTGGGGGGGGGGGGGAGGGGGAGCTCAATAATGCTTATATTTTTTGCACGGCAGGTGAGCTGTGACGTCAAATCTGTCACGTGACCCTCGCATGTGGAAACGTAACGCATTGTAGTGTAGTGGTTAGCGCTACGCCGCGCTACGAACCTGGCGACCCGAGTTCGATTTATGCTCACGGCCACCACCGGTGATAATTATTTTAACCATGCCTGGGCCTCCCCTAGGTCGACTTGGCCTCGAACGAGTAACTGCTGTGGTGTGTGAACATCGCCACTGGGGAGACGAAGGCGACCGAGTGTGGTGGATCCAAGTCCCGGGCGAAGCCGGGTAGTACAGCTCGTGTTAAATAAACGTGTCGCCTTCAATCGAAGCCTGGTCAGAATGCAAACCAAAAGCAAACTCTGATAATAAATGCATTATCTTTGAAACTGATTGGCCCACACCAGAGACAGCTTTCTTCTGAGCCTAGTCTCAAAACGGTGCTGGAGCACAGGATGCCGAAAGGCGTACAACAGCACAAAGACAACGCACTATCGGTGTAATGAGAGCTCGGGGTGAGCATCTACATCATGGGGACCTTCTTTGCCGGTACCAATTCTTAGAATAGATTTTCCCCCTTTTTTGGTGTGGACCAAATCGGTTTCAAAGACGATGCATATATTATCAGAGTATGCGTTTTGTTTGCATTCTAACCACAAATATTGTGGTTTCATGCAGACATGATTCCCTGCAAAAGGTTTCAGTTTGGTGTTTTAACATCTCAATACCTTTATTCGTGGTTCTTTCGGTAAAGTCACGTAGAAGGGAAATAATAAAAATATAATAAAAATAATAAACAATAAAATTCTCACGACATGAGAAACGTCGTGAGAATTTTATATTTTTATTATTTTACTGTTTCCCTTCTACGTGGTGGCTTTACCGAAAGAACCAACAATATGAATCCCTGCAGTCACGAAAGCTTTAAATCAAAATCTCAACACCTGCCATAAAAAAGGGGAAAACCTATTCTCATGAGGTGAGTGTTTAGTAGATGAGGAGGTGAGTGGTGGTGGTGGTGGTCGAGAATTGGAGGTGGTGGTTGTTGCCCAATGGCTGTGGTTGCCACCTGGCACTCCCCAGGTGGTGGTGGAGTTGGTGGAGTCTCGCCAGCGTGCCACCTTCAACAAGGACGATGTGCAGAAGATGAACCCTCCCAAGTTCGAGAAGGTGGAGGACATGGCGGAACTGACCTGCCTCAACCACGCTAGCGTGCTGCACAACCTGCGGGAGCGATACCACTCTGGGCTCATCTACGTGAGTGGATCGATCGCTCGTGCACACACGAGCTCACTCGCAGCTCCACCACTCACCCACTCACAGCTCCACCACTCACCCACTCACAGCTCCACCACTCACCCACTCACAGCTCCACCACTCACCCACTCACAGCTCCACCACTCACCCACTCACAGCTCCACCACTCATGCATAGCTCCACCACTCATAGTTCCACCACTCACTCACTCGTAGCTCAACCACTCACTCATAGCTCCACCACTCACTCACTTGCTCCTAACTCCACCACTCACCCACTCGTAGCTCCACCACTCACAGCTCCACCGCTCACCCACTCACAGCTCCACCACTCACCCACTCACAGCTCCACCACTCACCCACTCACAGCTCCACCACTCACCCACTCACAGCTCCATCACTCACCCACTCACAGCTCCAACACTCACCCACTCACAGCTCCACCACTCACTCACAGCTCCACCACTCACCCACTCACTCACAACTCCACCACTCACTCACAACTCCACCATTCACCCACTAACTCACAGCTCCACCACTCACCCACTCACAGCTCCACCACTCACCCACTCACTAATGGCTCCACCACTCACTCATAGCTCCACCACTCACTAACCGACTCACTGCTCCACCACTCACTCACTCACTCACAGCTCCACCACTCACCCACTCACTCAGCTCCACCACTCACTCATAGTTCCACCACTCACTCATAGCTCCACCCCTAACCCACTCACTGACAGCTCCACCACTCACCCACTCACTCACAACTCCACCATTCACCCACTCACTCACAGCTCCACCACTCACCCACTCACTCACAGCTCCACCACTCACCCACTCACTCATGGATCCACCACTCACCCACTCACTCATAGCTCCACCACTCACTCACAGCTCCACCACTCACCCACTCACTCACAGCTCCACCACTCACCCACTCACAGCTCCACCACTCACTCACAGCTCCACCACTCACCCACTCACTCAGCTCCACCACTCACTCTTAGTTCCACCACTCACTCATAGCTCCACCACTCACCCACTCACTCACAGCTCCACCACTCACCCACTCACTCACAGCTCCACCATTCACCCACTCACACACACACACAGCTCCACCATTCACCCACCCACTCACAGCTCCACCATTCACCCACCCACTCACAGCTCCACCATTCACATACCTACACACAGCTCCACCACTCACCCACTCACTCACAGTTCCACCATTCACCCACCTGCTCACAACTCCACCATTCACCCACCTGCTCACAACTCCACCATTCACCCACCCACTCACAGCTCCACCACTCACCCACTCACTCACAACTCCACCAGTCACCCACCCACTCACAACTCCACCAGTCACCCACCCACTCCCAACTCCACCACTCTCTCCATTTGTTAGCCTACTCGGGCCTGTTCTGCGTGGTGATCAACCCCTACCAGTCTGGTGGTGTGTCTGTGTCCTGTGTGGTGGTGGTGGTGGTGGTTAACTGTTGTGTGTCCCTGTCTGTATGTAGACATACTCGGGCCTGTTCTGCGTGGTGATCAACCCTTACAAGGCCATCCCCATCTACACCGACGCCATCATGGACCTGTACAAGGGACGCAAACGGCACGAAGTGCCACCACACATCTACGCTGTGTCGGAAACTGCCTATCGTAGCATGATGCATGGTAACTACCACTACTAGTACCACTACTACCACACATTACGCTGTGTCGGACACTGCCTCACGTAGCATGGTAACCACCATTATACTACTATCACTTCTATCACTACTATCACTCACTACTACTACTATCAATACTACTACCACACATCTACGCTGTCGGACACGGCCTACCTTAGCATGATGCATGCTAACTACTACTACCACCACTACTTTCACTCACTACTACTACCACGACTACAACTATTTACACCACTACCACAATCACCACTACTATCACTACCATACATCTACGCTGTGTCGGACACAGCCTTCTGTAGCATGATGCATGGTAACTATGACGAGTATCACTACCACTGCCACCACTACTACTACCACTCACTACTACTATCACGTCTAATACCACTACTACTATCAATCACTACCACTCACTACTACTTTCACGTCTAATACCACTACTACTATCAATCACTACCACTCACTACTACTATAACGTCTAATACCACTACTACAATAAATTACCACCACTACTACCACTCACTACTACTAATACCACCACTACTATTAATCACCACTACCACTCACTACTACTATGTCTAATACCACTACTACAATCAATCACCACCACGACTACCACTCACTACTACTACTATCACGTCTAATACCACTCACTACTACTAATACCACTACTACTAATACCACTACTACCACTCACTACTACCACCACTATCACCACTACTGCTACCACACACATATGCTGTGTTGCATGGTAACTACCACTACTTCTAGTACCACTACTACCATCCTCACCACCACTACCACCACTACGACCATCATCACCACCACTACCACCACTATGACCATCATCACCGCCACTACCACCACTACTACCATCATCACCGCCACTGCCACCACTACTACCATCATCACCGCCACTGCCACCACTACTACCATCATCACCACCACTACCACCACTACTACCATCATCACCGCCACTGCCACCACTACTACCATCATCACCGCCACTACCACCACTACTACCATCATCATCACCGCCACTACCACCACTACTACCATAATCACTGCCACTACCACCACTACTACCATAATCACCGTCACTACCACCACTACCATCACCACCACTGCAACCACCACCACTACTATCATCACCACCACTGCAACCACCACCACTGCAACCACCACCACTACTATCATCACCACCACTGCAACCACCACCACTACTATCATCACCACCACTGCAACCACCACTGCTACTATCATCACTACCACTGCAACCACCACCGCTACTATCATCACCACCACTGCAACCACCACTAATATCATCACCACCACTGCAACCACCACCTCTACTATCATCACCACCACTGCAACCACCACCACTACTATCATCACCACCACTGCAACCACCACCACCACTACTATCATCACGACCACTGCAACCACCACCACCGCTTCTATCATCACCACCACTGCAACCACCACCACTAATATCATCACCACCACTGCAACCACCACCACTACTATCATCACCACCACTGCAACCACCACCACCACTACTATCATCACCACCACTGCAACCACCACCACCACTACTATCATCACCACCACTGCAACCACCACCACCACTACTATCATCACCACCACTGCAACCACCACCACCACTACTATCATCACCACCACTGCAACCACCACCACCACTACTATCATCACCACCACTGCAACCACCACCACCACTACTTTCACCACCACCACTGCAACCACCACTACTATCATCACCACCACTGCAACCACCACCACCACTACTATCATCACCACCACTGCAACCACCACCACCACTACTATCATCACCACCACTGCAACCACCACCACCACTACTATCATCACCACCACTGCAACCACCACCACCACCACTACTATCATCACCACCACCGCAACCACCACCACCACTACTATCATCACCACCACCGCAACCACCACCACTACTATCATCACCACCACTGCAACCACCACCACTACTATCATCACCAGCACTGCAACCACCACCACTACTATTATCACCACCACTGCAACCACCACCACTACTATCATCACCACCACTGCAAGCACCACCACTACTATGATCACCACCACTGCAAGCACCACCACTACTATGATCACCACCACTGCAACCACCACCACTACTATCACCACCACCACTGCAACCACCACCACTACTATCACCACCACCACTATCACCACCACCACTGCAACCACCACCACTACTATCATCACCACCACTGCAACCACCACCACTATCATCACCACCACTGCAACCACCACCACTACTATCGTCACCACCACTGCAACCACCACCACTACTATCATCACCACCACTGCAACCACCACCACTACTATCGTCACCACCACTGCAACCACCACCACTACTATGATCACCACCATTGCAACCACCACCACCACTACTATGATCACCACCACTGCAACCACCACCACCACTACTATCATCACCACCACTGCAACCACCACCACCACTACTATCATCACCACCACTGCAACCACCACCACCACTACTATGATCACCACCATTGCAACCACCACCACCACTACTATCATCACCACCACTGCAACCACCACCACTACTATCATCACCACCACTGCAACCACCACCACCACTACTATCATCACCACCACTGCAACCACCACCACCACCACTACTATCGTCACCACCACTGCAACCACCACCACTACTATGATCACCACCACTGCAACCACCACCACCACTACTATCATCACCACCACTGCAACCACCACCACCACTACTATCATCACCACCACTGCAACCACCACCACCACTACTATGATCACCACCACTGCAACCACCACCACTACTATCATCACCAGCACTGCAACCACCACCACTACTATTATCACCACCACTGCAACCACCACCACTACTATCATCACCACCACTGCAAGCACCACCACTACTATGATCACCACCACTGCAAGCACCACCACTACTATGATCACCACCACTGCAACCACCACCACTACTATCACCACCACCACTGCAACCACCACCACTACTATCATCACCACCACTGCAACCACCACCACTATCATCACCACCACTGCAACCACCACCACTACTATCGTCACCACCACTGCAACCACCACCACTACTATCATCACCACCACTGCAACCACCACCACTACTATCGTCACCACCACTGCAACCACCACCACTACTATGATCACCACCACTGCAACCACCACCACCACTACTATCATCACCACCACTGCAACCACCACCACCACCACTACTATCATCACCACCACTGCAACCACCACCACCACTACTATGATCACCACCATTGCAACCACCACCACCACTACTATCATCACCACCACTGCAACCACCACCACTACTATCATCACCACCACTGCAACCACCACCACCACTACTATCATCACCACCACTGCAACCACCACCACCACCACTACTATCATCACCACCACTGCAACCACCACCACCACTACTACCATCACCACCACTGCAACCACCACTACTACCATCACCACCACTGCAACCACCACCACTATTATCATCAACACCACTGCAACCACCACTACTACCATCACCACCACTGCAACCACCACCACTACTATCATCACCACCACTGCAACCACCACCACCACTACTATCATCACCACCACTGCAACCACCACCACCACCACTACTATCATCACCACCACTGCAACCACCACCACCACCACCACTACTATCATCACCACCACTGCAACCACCACCACCACCACTACTATCATCACGACCACTGCAACCACCACCACTACTATCATCACCACCACTGCAACCACCACCACTACTATCATCACCACCACTGCAACCACCACCACTACTATCATCACCACCACTGCAACCACCACCACTACTATCATCACCACCACTGCAACCACCACCACTACTATCGTCACCACCACTGCAACCACCACCACTACTATGATCACCACCACTGCAACCACCACCACCACTACTATCATCACCACCACTGCAACCACCACCACCACCACTACTATCATCACCACCACTGCAACCACCACCACCACTACTATGATCACCACCATTGCAACCACCACCACCACTACTATCATCACCACCACTGCAACCACCACCACTACTATCATCACCACCACTGCAACCACCACCACCACTACTATCATCACCACCACTGCAACCACCACCACCACCACTACTATCATCACCACCACTGCAACCACCACCACCACTACTACCATCACCACCACTGCAACCACCACTACTACCATCACCACCACTGCAACCACCACCACTATTATCATCAACACCACTGCAACCACCACTACTACCATCACCACCACTGCAACCACCACCACTACTATCATCACCACCACTGCAACCACCACCACCACTACTATCATCACCACCACTGCAACCACCACCACCACCACCACCACTACTATCATCACCACCACTGCAACCACCACCACCACCACCACTACTATCATCACCACCACTGCAACCACCACCACCACCACTACTATCATCACGACCACTGCAACCACCACCACTACTATCATCACCACCACTGCAACCACCACCACTACTATCATCACCACCACTGCAACCACCACCACTACTATCATCACCACCACTGCAACCACCACCACTACTATCATCACCACCACTGCAACCACCACCACCACTACTATCATCACCACCACTGCAACCACCACCACCACCACTACTATCATCACCACCACTGCAACCACCACCACCACCACTACTATCATCACCACCACTGCAACCACCACCACTACTATCATCACCACCACTGCAACCACCACCACCACCACTATCATCACCACCACTGCAACCACCACCACTATCATCACCACCACTGCAACCACCACCACTATCATCACCACCACTGTAACCACCACCACTATCATCATCACCACCACTGTAACCACCACCACTACTATGATCACCACCACTGCAACCACCACCACCACTACTATCATCACCACCACTGCAACCACCACCACCACCACTACTATGATCACCACCACTGCAACCACCACCACTACTATCATCACCACCACTGCAACCACCACCACTACTATCATCACCACCACTGCAACCACCACTGCTACTATCATCACTACCACTGCAACCACCACCGCTACTATCATCACCACCACTGCAACCACCACTAATATCATCACCACCACTGCAACCACCACCTCTACTATCATCACCACCACTGCAACCACCACCACTACTATCATCACCACCACTGCAACCACCACCACCACTACTATCATCACGACCACTGCAACCACCACCACCGCTTCTATCATCACCACCACTGCAACCACCACCACTACTATCATCACCACCACTGCAACCACCACCACTACTATCATCACCACCACTGCAACCACCACCACCACTACTATGATCACCACCACTGCAACCACCACCACCACTACTATCATCACCACCACTGCAACCACCACCACCACTACTATCATCACCACCACTGCAACCACCACCACCACTACTATCATCACCACCACTGCAACCACCACTACTATCATCACCACCACTGCAACCACCACCACCACTACTATCATCACCACCACTGCAACCACCACCACCACTACTATGATCACCACCATTGCAACCACCACCACCACTACTATCATCACCACCACTGCAACCACCACCACCACTACTATCATCACCACCACTGCAACCACCACCACCACCACTACTATCATCACCACCACTGCAACCACCACCACCACCACTACTATCATCACCACCACTGCAACCACCACTACTATCACCACCACCACTGCAACCACCACTACTATCATCACCACCACTGCAACCACCACCACTACTATCATCACCACCACTGCAACCACCACCACCACTACTATCATCACCACCACTGCAACCACCACCACCACTACTATCATCACCACCACTGCAACCACCACCACCACCACTACTATCATCACCACCACCGCAACCACCACCACCACTACTATCATCACCACCACCGCAACCACCACCACTACTATCATCACCACCACTGCAACCACCACCACTACTATCATCACCAGCACTGCAACCACCACCACTACTATTATCACCACCACTGCAACCACCACCACTACTATCATCACCACCACTGCAAGCACCACCACTACTATGATCACCACCACTGCAAGCACCACCACTACTATGATCACCACCACTGCAACCACCACCACTACTATCACCACCACCACTGCAACCACCACCACTACTATCATCACCACCACTGCAACCACCACCACTACTATCATCACCACCACTGCAACCACCACCACTACTATCATCACCACCACTGCAACCACCACCACTATCATCACCACCACTGCAACCACCACCACTACTATCGTCACCACCACTGCAACCACCACCACTACTATCATCACCACCACTGCAACCACCACCACTACTATCATCACCACCACTGCAACCACCACCACTACTATGATCACCACCATTGCAACCACCACCACCACTACTATCATCACCACCACTGCAACCACCACCACCACTACTATCATCACCACCACTGCAACCACCACCACCACTACTATCATCACCACCACTGCAACCACCACCACCACTACTATCATCACCACCACTGCAACCACCACCATCACTACTATCATCACCACCACTGCAACCACCACCACTACTATCATCACCACCACTGCAACCACCACCACCACTACTATCATCACCACCACTGCAACCACCACCACCACTACTACTATGATCACCACCACTGCAACCACCACCACCACTACTATCATCACCACCACTGCAACCACCACCACCACTACTACCATCACCACCACTGCAACCACCACCACCACTACTACCATCACCACCACTGCAACCACCACCACCACTACTACCATCACCACCACTGCAACCACCACTACTACCATCACCACCACTGCAACCACCACCACTACTATCATCACCACCACTGCAACCACCACTACTACCATCACCACCACTGCAACCACCACCACTACTATCATCACCACCACTGCAACCACCACCACCACTACTATCATCACCACCACTGCAACCACCACCAGCACCACTACTATCATCACCACCACTGCAACCACCACCACCACCACTACTATCACCACCACTGCAACCACCACCACCACCACCACTACTATCATCACCACCACTGCAACCACCACCACTACTATCATCACCACCACTGCAACCACCACCACCACTACTATCATCACCACCACTGCAACCACCACCACCACTACTATCATCACCACCACTGCAACCACCACCACTACTATCACCACCACCACTGCAACCACCACCACCACCACTACTATCATCACCACCACTGCAACCACCACCACCACCACTACTATCATCACCACCACTGCAACCACCACCACTACTATCATCACCACCACTGCAACCACCACCACTATCATCACCACCACTGCAACCACCACCACTATCATCACCACCACTGTAACCACCACCACCACTATCATCATCACCACCACTGTAACCACCACCACTACTATGATCACCACCACTGCAACCACCACCACCACTACTATCATCACCACCACTGCAACCACCACCACCACCACCACTACTATGATCACCACCACTGCAACCACCACCACTACTATCATCACCACCACTGCAACCACCACCACTACTATGATCACCACCACTGCAACCACCACCACTACTATCATCACCACCACTGCAACCACCACCACTACTATCATCACCACCACTGCAACCAGCACCACTACTATGATCACCACCACTGTAACCACCACCACTACTATGATCACCACCACTGCAACCACCACCACTACTATGATCACCACCACTACTATCATCACCACCACTGCAACCAGCACCACTACTATGATCACCACCACTGTAACCACCACCACTACTATGATCACCACCACTGCAACCACCACCACTACTATGATCACCACCACTACTATGATCACCACCACTGCAACCACCACTACTATCATCACCACCACTGCAACCAGCACCACTACTATGATCACCACCACTGCAACCACCACCACTACTATGATCACCACCACTGCAACCACCACCACTACTATGATCACCACCACTACTATGATCACCACCACTGCAACCACCACCACTACTATCATCACTACCACTGCGACTGCCATCATCGTTGCCATGCTGGTTGTGATAGCCGTTTGGTCTCTTCCCCTGCCCCTCTGTAGATCGTGAGGACCAATCCATCCTGTGCACGTGAGTTCATTACAAAGACACAGACAAAGATCTCGCAGGTAGCCTCTAGAAGGGATGTAAGGGCAAGTGCTGTGAGTAGCCAGTAGCAGCAGTGTGTGTGGTGTGTGTGTACCACACGCACCATACACAAAGCTCCCCCAGGTAGCCTCTAGCAGGGATGTAGGGTCAAGTACTGTTAGTAGCCAGTATCTTTAGCGCAGCGCTAACCACGACACACATTTAGGGCTGAGTCGACCTAGGAGTTGGCACCAGGGCCTGGGTGTGAGTTTACACTCTGCGGTCACCTGATGTTGGTCGTGGGATGGCAGTCCAATTCGGCCGGTCGTCTCTGCTGGGGTTCCTGCAGCATGCTAACAGCTGCGCTGCTGCTCGCTCGTTTTCCCGCCTGCTCGCTCACCCGCTTGCTCACCCTCCCGCTCGCTCACCCGCTTGCTCACCCTCCCGCTTGCTCACCCTCCCGCTTGCTCACCCTCCCGCTCGCTCACCCTCCCGCTCGCTCACCCTCCCGCTCGCTCACCCTCCCGCTCGCTCACCCTCCCGCTCGCTCGCCCTCCCGCTCGCTCACCCTCCCGCTCGCTCACCCTCCCGCTCGCTCACCCTCCCGCTCGCTCGCCCTCCCGCTCGCTCGCTCACCCGCCCACCCACTTCGCCCGCCCGCTCTTCCGCTCACCCGCTCTCCCGCTCGCTCACCCTCCCACTCGCTCACCCTCCCACTCGCTCACCCGCCCACTCGCTCACCCGCCCACTCGCTCACCCACTCGCTCACCCGCCCGCTCGCCCGCCCGCTTGCCCGCCCGCTCGTTTGCTCGCTCGCTCGCCCACTCACCCGCTCACTCGCTCACTCGCTCACTTGCTCATCCGCTCGCTCACCCTCCCGCTCGCTCACCCGCTCACTCACCCACTCGCTCACTCGCTCGATCACCCGCCCACTCGCTCACCCACTCGCTCACCCGCCCACCCACTCGCTCGCCCCCCCCCGCTCGCTCGCTCAGCCACTCACTCGCTAGGCTGCCGTCACTCGTTCACCCACCCACTGATTTGTAAATAGACTCCAGCATCTTTCTTGATTTGAAGCTTTCGTGACTGCAGGAATCCAAACTCTTTGTTTCTTTCGGTAAAGTCACGTAGGTAAGAGAAAAATAATAGATCACGTGATCTATTATTTTTCTCCTCGTGTCTCTCCACCACCTCCCCAGGGGTGAATCCGGTGCCGGCAAGACGGAGAACACCAAGAAAGTGATCCAGTATCTGGCTCATGTCGCATCCCAGCGTGGACGCCCTGCTGCTCATGGACTACCGGTACTACTACTACAATCACTACTACCATCACGCACGACGACTACCACCACAACTACTACTTTCACTACCGGTATAATTACCACTACTACCGATACTATTACCATTACTACTAACACTGCTAAAACCACTGCCACCACCATCGCCACTAGTAGTACTACTCCCACAGTCATTAACTACAACCACTAGAACAACCACAACCACCACGACAGTCAACATCACCACAACTATGACGTCCACAACTATTGCAACCACCACTACCACCATAACAACCGCAACTGCTGCTGCTTCTCGTCTCGTCCTTAATGCTACAAATTCGCTTCACTAACGCTTGACGCCCCCCCCCCCCCCTCTCTTTCTCTCCGTGTCTCTCTCCGTCTCTATCTCGCTCTCCCCCCGTGTCTCTCTCTCTCTCCATGTCTATCTCGCTCTCCCTCCGTGTCTCTCTCTCCATGTCTATCTCGCTCTCTCTCCCTCCGTGTCTATCTCGCTCTCTCTCCCTCCGTGTCTATCTCGCCCTCTCTCCCTCCGTGTCTGTCTCGCTCTCTCTCCCCCCGTGTCTATCTCGCTCTCTCTCCCCCCATGTCTGTCTCGCTCTCTCTCCCCCCGTGTCTGTCTCGCTCTCTCTCCCCCCGTGTCTATCTCGCTCTCTCTCCCCACGTGTCTATCTCGCTCTCTCTCCCCCCATGTCTGTCTCGCTCTCTCTCCCCCCGTGTCTGTCTCGCTCTCTCTCCCCCCGTGTCTATCTCGCCCTCTCTCCCCCCGTGTCTGTCTCGCTCTCTCTCCCCCCGTGTCTGTCTCGCTCTCTCTCCCCCCGTGTCTCTCTCGCTCTCTCTCCCCCCGTGTCTCTCTCGCTCTCTCCCCCCGTGTCTCTCTCGCTCTCTCTCTCCCCCCGTGTCTCTCTCGCTCTCTCTCCCCCCGTGTCTCTCTCGCTCTCTCCCCCCGTGTCTATCTCGCTCTCTCTCCCCCCGTGTCTCTCTCGCTCTCTCTCCCCCCGTGTCTCTCTCGCTCTCTCTCCCCCCGTGTCTATCTCGCTCTCTCTCCCCCCGTGTCTCTCTCGCTCTCTCTCCCCCCGTGTCTCTCTCGCTCTCTCTCCCCCCGTGTCTCTCTCGCTCTCTCTCCCCCGTGTCTATCTCGCTCTCTCTCCCCCCGTGTCTATCTCGCTCTCTCTCCCCCCGTGTCTATCTCGCTCTCTCTCCCCCCGTGTCTATCTCGCTCTCTCCCCCCGTGTCTCTCTCGCTCTCTCTTCCCCCGTGTCTCTCTCGCTCTCTCTCCCCCCGTGTCTCTCTCGCTCTCTCTCCCCCCGTGTCTATCTCGCTCTCTCTCCCCCGTGTCTATCTCGCTCTCTCTCCCCCCGTGTCTCTCTCGCTGTCTCTCCCCCCGTGTCTCTCTCGCTCTCTCTCCCCCCGTGTCTCTCTCGCTCTCTCTCCCCCCGTGTCTCTCTCGCTCTCTCTCCCCCCGTGTCTCTCTCGCTCTCTCTCCCCCCGTGTCTCTCTCGCTCTCTCTCCCCCCGTGTCTCTCTCGCTCTCTCCCCCCGTGTCTATCTCGCTCTCTCTCCCCCCGTGTCTATCTCGCTCTCTCTCCCCCCGTGTCTATCTCGCTCTCTCTCCCCCCGTGTCTCTCTCGCTCTCTCTCCCCCCGTGTCTCTCTCGCTCTCTCTCCCCCCGTGTCTATCTCGCTCTCTCTCCCCCCGTGTCTCTCTCTCGCTCTCTCTCTCCCTCCGTGTCTCTCTCTCTCTCTCTCTCTCCCTCCGTGTCTCTCTCTCGCTCTCTCTCTCCCTCCGTGTCTCTCTCTCGCTCTCTCTCTCCCTCCGTGTCTCTCTCTCGCTCTCTCTCTCCCTCCGTGTCTCTCTCTCTCGCTCTCTCTCTCCCTCCGTGTCTCTCTCTCTCGCTCTCTCTCTCCCTCCGTGTCTCTCTCTCTCGCTCTCTCTCTCCCTCCGTGTCTCTCTCTCTCGCTCGCTCTCTCCCTCCGTGTCTCTCTCTCTCGCTCTCTCTCTCCCTCCGTGTCTCTCTCTCTCGCTCTCTCTCTCCCTTCGTGTCTCTCTCTCTCGCTCTCTCTCTCCCTCCGTGTCTCTCTCTCTCGCTCTCTCTCTCCCTCCGTGTCTCTCTCTCTCGCTCTCTCTCTCCCTCCGTGTCTCTCTCTCTCGCTCTCTCTCTCTCCCTCCGTGTCTCTCTCTCGCTCTCTCTCTCTCCCTCCGTGTCTCTCTCTCGCTCTCTCTCTCTCCCTCCGTGTCTCTCTCTCGCTCTCTCTCTCTCTCCCTCCGTGTCTCTCTCTCGCTCTCTCTCTCTCTCCCTCCGTGTCTCTCTCTCGCTCTCTCTCTCTCTCCCTCCGTGTCTCTCTCTCGCTCTCTCTCTCTCTCCCTCCGTGTCTCTCTCTCGCTCTCTCTCTCTCTCCCTCCGTGTCTCTCTCTCGCTCTCTCTCTCTCTCCCTCCGTGTCTCTCTCTCGCTCTCTCTCTCTCTCCCTCCGTGTCTCTCTCTCGCTCTCTCTCTCTCTCCCTCCGTGTCTCTCTCTCGCTCTCTCTCTCTCTCCCTCCGTGTCTCTCTCTCGCTCTCTCTCTCTCTCCCTCCGTGTCTCTCTCTCGCTCTCTCTCTCTCTCCCTCCGTGTCTCTCTCTCGCTCTCTCTCTCTCTCCCTCCGTGTCTCTCTCTCGCTCTCTCTCTCTCTCCCTCCGTGTCTCTCTCTCGCTCTCTCTCTCTCTCCCTCCGTGTCTCTCTCTCGCTCTCTCTCTCTCTCCCTCCGTGTCTCTCTCTCGCTCTCTCTCTCTCTCCCTCCGTGTCTCTCTCTCGCTCTCTCTCTCTCTCCCTCCGTGTCTCTCTCTCGCTCTCTCTCTCTCTCCCTCCGTGTCTCTCTCTCGCTCTCTCTCTCTCTCCCTCCGTGTCTCTCTCTCGCTCTCTCTCTCTCTCCCTCCGTGTCTCTCTCTCGCTCTCTCTCTCTCTCCCTCCGTGTCTCTCTCTCGCTCTCTCTCTCTCTCCCTCCGTGTCTCTCTCTCGCTCTCTCTCTCTCTCCCTCCGTGTCTCTCTCTCGCTCTCTCTCTCTCTCTCTCCCTCCGTGTCTCTCTCTCGCTCTCTCTCTCTCTCTCTCCCTCCGTGTCTCTCTCTCGCTCTCTCTCTCTCTCTCTCCCTCCGTGTCTCTCTCTCGCTCTCTCTCTCTCTCTCTCCCTCCGTGTCTCTCTCTCGCTCTCTCTCTCTCTCTCTCCCTCCGTGTCTCTCTCTCGCTCTCTCTCTCTCTCTCTCCCTCCGTGTCTCTCTCTCGCTCTCTCTCTCTCTCTCTCCCTCCGTGTCTCTCTCTCGCTCTCTCTCTCTCTCTCTCACTCTCTGTCTCTCTCTCTCTCTCTCTCTCTCTCTCTCTCCCTCCGTGTCTCTCTCTCGCTCTCTCTCTCTCTCTCTCCCTCCGTGTCTCTCTCTCGCTCTCTCTCTCTCTCTCTCCCTCCGTGTCTCTCTCTCGCTCTCTCTCTCTCTCTCTCCCTCCGTGTCTCTCTCTCGCTCTCTCTCTCTCTCTCTCCCTCCGTGTCTCTCTCTCGCTCTCTCTCTCTCTCTCTCCCTCCGTGTCTCTCTCTCGCTCTCTCTCTCTCTCTCTCCCTCCGTGTCTCTCTCTCGCTCTCTCTCTCTCTCTCTCCCTCCGTGTCTCTCTCTCGCTCTCTCTCTCTCTCTCTCCCTCCGTGTCTCTCTCTCGCTCTCTCTCTCTCTCTCTCCCTCCGTGTCTCTCTCTCGCTCTCTCTCTCTCTCTCTCCCTCCGTGTCTCTCTCTCGCTCTCTCTCTCTCTCTCTCCCTCCGTGTCTCTCTCTCTCTCTCTCTCTCTCTCTCTCTCTCCCTCCGTTTCTCTCTCTCGCTCTCTCTCTCTCTCTCTCTCTCCCTCCGTGTCTCTCTCTCTCTCTCTCTCTCTCTCTCTCCCTCCGTGTCTCTCTCTCTCTCTCTCTCTCTCTCTCTCCCTCCGTGTCTCTCTCTCGCTCTCTCTCTCTCTCTCTCCCTCCGTGTCTCTCTCTCGCTCTCTCTCTCTCTCTCTCCCTCCGTGTCTCTCTCTCGCTCTCTCTCTCTCTCTCTCCCTCCGTGTCTCTCTCTCGCTCTCTCTCTCTCTCTCTCCCTCCGTGTCTCTCTCTCGCTCTCTCTCTCTCTCTCTCCCTCCGTGTCTCTCTCTCGCTCTCTCTCTCTCTCTCTCCCTCCGTGTCTCTCTCTCGCTCTCTCTCTCTCTCTCTCCCTCCGTGTCTCTCTCTCGCTCTCTCTCTCTCTCTCTCCCTCCGTGTCTCTCTCTCGCTCTCTCTCTCTCTCTCTCCCTCCGTGTCTCTCTCTCGCTCTCTCTCTCTCTCTCTCCCTCCGTGTCTCTCTCTCGCTCTCTCTCTCTCTCTCTCCCTCCGTGTCTCTCTCTCGCTCTCTCTCTCTCTCTCTCTCCCTCCGTGTCTCTCTCTCGCTCTCTCTCTCTCTCTCTCTCCCTCCGTGTCTCTCTCTCGCTCTCTCTCTCTCTCTCTCTCCCTCCGTGTCTCTCTCTCGCTCTCTCTCTCTCTCTCTCTCCCTCCGTGTCTCTCTCTCGCTCTCTCTCTCTCTCTCTCTCCCTCCGTGTCTCTCTCTCGCTCTCTCTCTCTCTCTCTCTCTCCCTCAGTGTCTCTCTCTCGCTCTCTCTCTCTCTCTCTCCCTCCGTGTCTCTCTCTCGCTCTCTCTCTCTCTCTCTCCCTCCGTGTCTCTCTCTCGCTCTCTCTCTCTCTCCCTCCGTGTCTCTCTCTCGCTCTCTCTCTCTCTCCCTCCGTGTCTCTCTCTCGCTCTCTCTCTCTCTCCCTCCGTGTCTCCCTCTCGCTCTCTCTCTCTCTCCCTCCGTGTCTCCCTCTCGCTCTCTCTCTCTCTCCCTCCGTGTCTCTCTCTCGCTCTCTCTCTCTCTCCCTCCGTGTCTCTCTCTCGCTCTCTCTCTCTCTCCCTCCGTGTCTCTCTCTCGCTCTCTCTCTCTCTCCCTCCGTGTCTCTCTCTCGCTCTCTCTCTCTCTCTCCCCCCGTGTCTCTCTCTCGCTCTCTCTCTCTCTCTCCCTCCGTGTCTCTCTCTCGCTCTCTCTCTCTCTCTCCCTCCGTGTCTCTCTCTCGCTCTCTCTCTCTCTCTCCCTCCGTGTCTCTCTCTCGCTCTCTCTCTCTCTCTCCCTCCGTGTCTCTCTCTCGCTCTCTCTCTCTCTCTCCCTCCGTGTCTCTCTCTCGCTCTCTCTCTCTCTCCCTCCGTGTCTCTCTCTCGCTCTCTCTCTCTCTCCCCCCGTGTCTCTCTCTCGCTCTCTCTCTCTCTCTCCCCCCGTGTCTCTCTCTCGCTCTCTCTCTCTCTCTCCCCCCGTGTCTCTCTCTCGCTCTCTCTCTCTCTCCCCCCGTGTCTCTCTCTCGCTCTCTCTCTCTCTCCCCCCGTGTCTCTCTCTCGCTCTCTCTCTCTCTCCCCCCGTGTCTCTCTCTCGCTCTCTCTCTCTCTCCCCCCGTGTCTCTCTCTCGCTCTCTCTCTCTCTCCCCCCGTGTCTCTCTCTCGCTCTCTCTCTCTCTCCCCCCGTGTCTCTCTCTCGCTCTCTCTCTCTCTCCCCCCGTGTCTCTCTCTCGCTCTCTCTCTCTCTCCCCCCGTGTCTCTCTCTCGCTCTCTCTCTCTCTCCCCCCGTGTCTCTCTCTCGCTCTCTCTCTCTCTCCCCCCGTGTCTCTCTCTCGCTCTCTCTCTCTCTCCCCCCGTGTCTCTCTCTCGCTCTCTCTCTCTCTCCCCCCGTGTCTCTCTCTCGCTCTCTCTCTCTCTCCCCCCGTGTCTCTCTCTCGCTCTCTCTCTCTCTCCCCCCGTGTCTCTCTCTCGCTCTCTCTCTCTCTCCCCCCGTGTCTCTCTCTCGCTCTCTCTCTCTCTCCCCCCGTGTCTCTCTCTCGCTCTCTCTCTCTCTCCCCCCGTGTCTCTCTCTCGCTCTCTCTCTCTCTCCCCCCGTGTCTCTCTCTCGCTCTCTCTCTCTCTCCCCCCGTGTCTCTCTCTCTCCATGTATATCTCGCTCTCCCCCTATGTGTCTTCCCCGCTTCAGCCCGAGTCTCCACGAATCTCGAAGGTAAGAGCCAGTGCCTAAACAATCACAGGTGGGTGGCTGCGTGGGTGGCTGGCTGCGTGGGGTGGGTGGGTGGGTGGCTGGCTGCGTGGGGTGGGTGGGTGGCTGGCTGGCTGCGTGGGTGGCTGGCTGGCTGGCTGCGTGGGTGGGTGGCTGCCTGGCTGCGTGGGGTGGGTGGCTGGCTGGCTGCGTGGGTGGCTGGCTGGCTGGCTGCGTGGGTGGGTGGGTGGCTGGCTGGCTGCGTGGGGTTGGTGGGTGGCTGGCTGGCTGTCTGCGTGAGGTTGGTGGGTGGCTGGCTGGCTGTCTGCGTGGGGTTGGTGGGTGGCTGGCTGTCTGCGTGGGGTTGGTGGGTGGCTGGCTGTCTGCGTGGGGTTGGTGGGTGGCTGGCTGGGTGGCTGGCTGCGTGAGTGGGTGGGTGGCTGGCTGTCTGCGTGGGGTTGGTGGGTGGCTGGCTGGCTGGCTGGGTGGGTGGCTGGCTGGGTGGGTGGGTGGGTGGCTGGGTGGGTGGCTGGGTGGCTGGGTGGGTGGCTGGGTGGGTGGCTGGGTGGGTGGCTGGGTGGCTGGGTGGGTGGCTGGGTGGGTGGCTGGGTGGCTGGGTGGGTGGCTGGGTGGCTGGGTGGCTGGCTGGCTGGCTGGCTGCGTGGGTGGGTAGCTGGCTGCGTGGGTGGCTGGCTGGCTGCGTGGGTGGGTGGCTGGCTGCGTGGGTGGGTGGGTGGCTGAGTGGCTGGCTGGCTGGATGGCTGGCTGGCTGTGTGGGTGGCTGGCTGGATGGCTGGCTGCGTGGGTGGCTGGCTGGCTGGCTGCGTGGGTGGGTGGGTGGCTGGCTGCGTGGGTGGCTGGATATGTGCCTGTGCTTGGTGGGTGCATGGGTGGCTGGGTGATAACTCTAACGCAATGGTTTTTGTTTATTCCCAAACAGGCCTCTAGCGCGTTCACATACGTAAGTTACTCACTAACTCGCCCGCTCACACACTAAGGACGATGACGATTATGATGACGATGCGAATGACGATGATGACAATGATGATGACGACGATATTACCGCAGGGTGAGTTGGAGAAGCAGCTGCTGCAGGCGAACCCCATCCTGGAGGCGTTCGGCAATGCCAAGACGGTGAAGAATGACAACTCGTCCCGCTTTGTAAGTGGACCACCAACCACTACTGCCACAACAACCACCACCCCCACAACCACTACCACCAACACTACTATCACCACTACTACTACAACCTCTAAACCACTACCAACCACTACAACATCCACTTCAATCACAACCATCACCAACAACCATTATCAACCACTCTAGCCACAGTGATCAACGTTCGTGTTGTTAATGTTGTTGTCCTTTCCAATGCTGCTCATGATTATTTTGAGGTGGTGATGGTGGTCTGGTCGTGATATATTGGTGGTGGTGGTGGCGTTGATGTGGTGTTGACGTAGTGGTGGCGGTAGTGACGTTGTTGTTGTTGTTGTTTCTTCAGGGTAAGTTTATCCGGATCAACTTTGACGTCACCGGATTCATCGTGGGAGCCAACATTGAGACTTGTATCCTGCTACATCGCAGCAGTGGTGGTTGCGAGGTGATGGTTGTGGTTGTGGTTGCGCGTCGGTGGTGGTTGTGGTTGGTTGTGGTTGTTGTCCTGACTTGGCGAGGATCTCAGACCTGCTGGAGAAGTCTCGCAACATTCGCCAGGCAAAGGATGAACGCTCATTCCACATCTACTACTACCTGCTGCATGGAGCATCATCCGCACAGAGGGGTGAGAAACGGATACTCACCCGCTCGCCCACCCGCTCGCCCACCCGCTCGCCCACCCGCTCGCCCACCCGCTCGCCCACCCGCTCGCCCACCCGCTCGCCCAATCATGATGAGTCTACTGCTGCTTTTCTTCCCACCACAGAGGAGCTCCTGCTGGAAGGTTTCCCGTCCTACCGCTTTCTCTGCGGTGGGCCCATCGATGTGCCCGGAGCCCCAGACAAGGAAATGTTCCATCAGACCGTCGAGGCACTCAACATCATGGGCTTCACGCAGGAGGAGCAGATGGGTGCGTGCACCCAGCCTGGCACGGAGGAGGCGCCACGCTTGTGTGTGTCTGTGTGTGGGGAGCGGTATTATAGTAGCGGTTAGCGCTACGCTGCGCTACGAACCCGGCGACCCGAGTTCGATTCCCGCTCATGGCCTACACCGGTGATGATTATCCGAACCGGTCCTGGGCCTCTCCTAGGTCGACTCAGCCTCAAATGTGTACCTGGTGTGGTGTGTAATAAACATCGCCCCTGGGGAGACAAAGGCGGCCGGGCGTGGTGCTGACCACCCACCCCCGTGTGTGCCGTGTTGGCCTTCATAGGTGCTACTCGCTAACAGCACTTGCCCCAACAGTCTGATAAGGCTATATGGGGAATATTTGTATTTTTTGTGCCTGTGTGATTGGAAGGCGTGGACTAGATCGGCTTTTAACAATGGTAGGAAGCTGCTAGACGTTTATGCAGCCCATGGACTTGTAATTACCAACACGCTGTTCCGGTATCGGCGCATCCACAAAACATCATGGATGCACGCCAGGTCTAAGTAAGAACATCTGCTGGACTATATAGTGACAGAACAGCGGATGCGGGCCCATGTCCTTGACACCAGGACCTACCGTGGAACTGATCTACCCACTGACCATCGACTTGTCATCTGTAAGATGGGCCTGCCATTCTTCTACTCCGGTGGTGGGTGTACACCCAGGACCCCATTCAAACCCAGAGTGGCCTGGTCTCAGCTGATGAAAGTTGCAAGTGAGAATTTCATCATCTCTTGCAGCTGGGTTTGGCATCGTCCCCAAATCCTCCTATGCTGAAGAGGAAATGGGCGAGGTTTTGGACTGTGGCTCATGCAGCTGCAATTGCTGCTTTGGGTGCACAGTCCAGACCTCCCGAGAGACCATGGCTGATGGAGGAGGTGTTGCAGCTGGCTGAAAAAATGTGACAGGCCCACTCACCATCTACAGCGTTCCCACGTCAGAGAATGAGGAGGCTTTTACCTTAACCTTCGCGGTTTGGAGAGCCGTGTGGCATTGCAAAAATGGGTGGTGGTAGTGGGTTGGCCGACGCGATGTAGTGTGCCTCTCGCCTGTGATCACAAATCATTACTTAACTCCAAAAATGTTAATTGAAGTGCCACACCTATCACGGAACAGGTTTGCAGATTTGCGGAGCATTTTCTGTGAAGTATTGGGGGAGGGGAAATCCCTCGGTCTGGAAAAACATCATGGGGCAAAGTGGGGATGACCCTGCTGAGACTTTGGTGCCTCAAATATTAGAAGTCACCCCCTGTGGGTGACTGACTGAGATGCCACCTGTTGAGGAAGTACAGAAGGCAATCCAGAGACCAGGAAAAGCATCGGGAAGAGGTGATCTCCCAAGCGAAATGCTGGGAGACTACCCTACATAACACCATAATAACAGTGGGCCACTGGATGGGTGTCTGCATGACTGGAAGAATGCGTGTGCGTCTGTCATTTTAAAAACGCATCTCCCACCCATGTCTCTCTCCCACCCGTGTCTCTGTCACTCTCTCTCTCGCTCCCACCCATCTGTCTCTCTCCCACCCGTGTCTCTCCCCATAGCTGTTTTCAAGATCGTCTCGTCCGTGCTGCAGTTTGGGAATCTGGTTTTCAAGAAGGAACGAAACACAGACCAAGCCTCAATGCCTGACAACACGGGTAAGGAATCTACTGCTACATCATCATCATCACCCCCACTACTCCTACTCACCCACCTATCCACTCACTCATTCACTTGCTCACCCACTCACTCTTTCATTCACTCGCCCACCCGCTCTCCTACACTCACTCGCTCACAACTCATTCGCTCGCTCACCAAACAAATGAACGATCGTTGATTGCCTGCAACAGCAATTACTGCAGCAACACCATGACCTCCTCTCTCCCCGTGTCTCTCTCCACGTCTTTGTCTCTCTCTCCACGTCTCTCTCTACATCTGTCTCTCTCCCCCCACGTGTCTCTTTCTCTTTCCCCACGTATCTCTATCTCTCTCTCTCTCTCTCCCC